GAGGCCTAGGTGCTCCTCGCCCTTCCTGTACCTCAGTTTTCCTGCTCCTACACCCACCAAAGGGGCCCTGCTTCCCAAAGAAGGCCCCCCCCTCCAAATGAACTTGAGGTTAATCCAAAGGTGAAGATTCACAGGACAATCAGAGCCACAGCTCCATACCTGTCCACTTTGTGTACCTCATGTTATCACACATGGTAGATGGGGAAACAGGCACAGAGAGGCTGTGATGTACCCAGGTCACACAGCGAGCAAGGCAGTGGTAGGTTAGGCAACCAGGTATGGCAGGCTCCTGAGGCAGGCTCTTAGGGCCTCCCAGCAGGGGAAGGGGATTTTGGTCAAGCTGGGTCTCAAATCACAACCACAGGGCAGAGCTCTCTGATGGAAAGTGAGTCAGTTTGCTGGGGGAAGAGTCCTGGAGCCAAGGCCAAGTGCTGAAGGGGTGGGCTTAGAATGGAGGGGTGATCCACTTGGAATACCAGGAGGAAAACAGAATAGGGGAGCCCAATGTGCTAAGGACACAAGCCCTCTCTGCTGGACTTGACTGGCCACACCTGAGACACATAGGCTCAGGGCTCAGGGAGGGCTCAAATGCTTTCTAGATTTACCAAGGGATGAAGACTAAATGTACTCCCCCTAACCCTCCTACCATGGGAAGGGCCCCGATCATGTCCTGGTAGATGGGTGAGTCTTTGCCCCTGGAAGTACCGGGAGGGTCATGTCCTCTGTACCATAGCCTGGTGACGAGTGGAGGGCAAGAACCCATTCCCCCAACCCAAGGCACAGCCTAGACCTGGAGCCCATCTGGTCTCGCTTACTCAATAGCCCCAAGATCCTGAACAGATCACCAAACCTTCTGAGCCCCTTCCCTCCATGGGGAAAGGGTGATTTGGGGGAAAGAATGAAAGAAGAGAATTTTTCAAAGTTCCTAGCCCACAGTAAGCCTTAGGAAAGGGTGACTTTCTTCCCACCTCTAGAACCAATTCCAGTGTCTCTTGGCTCCTTAGGGGGAGTGAGGGTTAGAGGCAGAGAAGGCAGCTCTTAAAAAGCAGGAATGGTGTGCCTGTCCCCACCCCCAGCCCACTGAGGGCTTCCTAGCCCAGAAAGTTACAGACCATACTCTACAGAACCCTGTGTCCCACAGGCACCTCAGGCCTCCCACCACCACCTTCCTCCTGGTCTCTGAACTTCCTGCCTTCTGAGACCTAGACCCAGGCCGAAGCAATTGCCTTTTTTCCTTGTTGTGTTGATAGATTCTGCAGGGCAGGGAAATTAACAGCATTGAGCCTACTGGGAGGGTGGGTGCCAGCCCAGCCTAGCATCAGCACCAGCAGCCCAGCCCCATGCAGCCCACACCCCCCTAATGGGCAGGCCCTGACGCTGCCTCTGGAGCCAGGTGATTTATGGGCCTGCACTGTCTGAGCAGAATGCATCTCCCACCTCTCATGGCTGGGATGTGATGGCATCTTCCTTCAGCCCCAGACTTCCTGGCCCAGAGAGGCTGAGGCCAAGAGACGGGAGACTCAGGACACATATTCCCATTCTTCAGCAAGGTCTGATTACTGCCATGAGAACTTGCCCCTAAACTACAGAAGCTCAGAGAGGGAAACAGCTTGCTTAGGGCAACACATAGTCTCTAGATTAGGATGCAGAGCTGGGGCTGAGGGATCAACAGAACACTTTGTAAATGAAAGCCTGAGTATGCACCCACCTCAGGAAAGTCACTCGGTCCAGTCTCCTCGGAAGGGGAGACAGGAAGAGCTCCTAAATGGAGTGATGTACGAATTCAATAAGCTAAAGCCTACCATGCTCTCGCCACAGTGGTCAGCACACACCAGACACTAAATAAATCATAGCTTCTTCAAAGATCCCAGAGGGATCCAACCTGCCCTGTTATGTCCCTTAGAGATGAAGAGAGGTGGCAAGAGACTTAGAGCTCAAGGACTGGGGCCCAGGCTCTACGTGGCCTGAACAGGATTTCTCAGATTTGCTGCCCTAAGTGCCAGGCTTGCACAGCTGTGGAGGGTTGGCATTACCACTGGCTCCTTGTCACTAAGACTTGGTCCTACTTGGCTCTCCTGCCCTCTGCAGCCACTTCCTGGTTCCCAGATGTAAATGTTGGCTGGAAAATGGGGACAGGGGACTTCTAGGCAGGAGGTTACCTGCATTCCCTACTTCCTGGAGGTGGCCAGTTCTGTACTCATTAAGGGATTGGTAAAATGTTGAGAGTGCTGGGTGCCCTAACTTGGTAGCTATCGGGCGATAGGAACCTGCTCAGTTGTCAGCTAGGGCTGGAATCTTGCATTGCAAGTCCTTAAAACACTCAGAAACTCTATACTGGGATTTTGGACCTGGGGTGGGGGTGGCTTTCTGGTTGTTGCAATGCAGTGGGTCCCTGGAGGTGGGACAACTGTGGTTCCAGCCACCGTCAGCAAACTGAATTTCACCTTCAAGACAGGTCTTCCGGGATTTCTTAGGCTACCCCCTACCCTGCAGTGAACTTGAGTCTCCCATAGGTTGAAGAGGGCTTCCTCCTACAGGAATGTGCTTGGATCATGCCTCCCTGTTGTCTCTATAGAGTCTGGAAGTGATTTCATACCACCCACCCTCCCCAGGGATGCTCAGCTGCCACCTGTGGGTGGGTGGGGGAGCAGCAGAGGTAACAGTCCATTCATTCCATGTGACAAGTTAGAAGACTGGGGACCGGAAAGGGCCTCCTTCAATGGCAGAGGAAGGCAGAATTTCCCTGGGAAAATCAAACAGGTATACACACACACACACACACACACACACACGCACACACACACACGCACACACACACACACAGGCGACCCTGTGGACCTGAGCTGCAGTTCTCTGAGCACTCAGGAATTCCAGGCTGAGTTCACCTGCTGTCAGACCATCAGGGCCTTGAGAATGAATTCAGAGCTGGCAACTTCATTTTGCCTCCTCTCTCTTGTGGTGGAAGGAGTGATCTCTCCGGCCCTAAAGGAGTTCAAGCCGAGGTCATAGCAGTCCTCTGAAGGATGTTCTAAAATGGGGATCTGTGGTGGAGGGAGTACTACGGCCTGCTCCCCCTGTTGGCCTGGGGTCCGCTCTGATCACCGCCCACGAGGCACAAGCAATCCGCGAGTCTTCGTGGCACGTCTGCGCTCCCATGCGGACCTCGTCAATCAGGCAGTAGCCCCGGCGAGGCCAAGACTTCTTCCGCCAGCCCCAGGCCCCAGGGGAGACCCCCACCCGGGCCGCCTCCCGGTGCCCGCCCCCCGGCGGTGTCATTGTTCTCTGACGTCACGCCTCGACCCCGCCCCTCGCCCCCCCAACCTTTCCTCCCCATCTCCGACTCCCCTCGTCCGCGACCCTGCAGCCTCCAACGCCCGGGCAGTGCAGGGCTCCCCCCGCGTCCCGGCCAGGGCTGCGCCCCCTTGCGCTCTCCCCAACTTGCCTTTGTTATTCCAGCTCCCTTCCTAGCCTCGCCTCCGACACTGCGGCGGCCTGCAAAACGCGGAACGCGGAACAGCCGCCACACCTGGATTCCGGAACGGGCTCGGGGCCCAAGCCTCCCCCGCCTGCCCCGGAGGGGAGTGCGTGCGTGCGTGCTCGTGTCCAACCCCCGCGCTGATTGTGATTCGGAATGGGAAGGGGTGCAGCTAATCAGGGGTGGGGGACCTTGAGAAAGGGGTGTGAAAGCGGAGGGGGTGTGTTTGTGTATATACGTGAACATGAGATTTAGTGCACAGGGGAATTTTTTGTGTGTGTTTTTTAGTGTACGTGGGGTTGTGCACAGCGATGTTTGTGTGTGTGTGTGCGTGCGTGTGTGCAATTGCGTGTTTTTGAGTGTGCTTACTGAGGCCATGTACTCAGAGCATGTTTGTGAGAAAAAATGTGAGTGTGTGCGGGCGCGTTTGTGAGTATGTGGCGTGATAGCATGTTTGCAGTGCTGAGGGTGGGAGTGAATGTGTGTGCCATTTGTGTAGGAGTTTCTGTGTGAGTGGCAGTGGACGTGAGCCAAAGTGGGCGCGCTCTTGGATGCTCTTGGAGGTGGGTCTGCGAGGGGGAACCCCGCGAGTGGGCGCACACAACTGCGCCTCGTGAGTGCTATCGCTCTCCGCCACCCCTGGAGCTGTTCCCAGGCCTGGACAAGGGCTGGGCCCGGGTCTCGCTGGACTCCTTTCGAGGCCTTGGGGCATCCACACATCTTTGGACTGTGTCTGGTGCCGAGGATGTGCGGTGCGCACCGCACCCTGCTCTTTCCCAGTCGTCGAGGCCGGGAAGGGGGGGCGCGGTGGAGCGCGCTCCAGCCTCCCTAAACGTCACCTTTGGTGGTGAGGGAGGGGGGTCCCTTCTCGCCTCATCCACCAGTCCCAGAGCTTTAGGAACAACCCCAAAATCTCCTCCAGGGAAGGTTTTGGAGATCTTGTTAGCAACTCGCTCACCCCAATTCAGGTACCTGGCAGCGCCCGTGGCCCCGAGTGCACTCCAGGCGAGGGCGTACGAGCGCGGGGTGGGGTGGGGGATGCCGGTGAGCGGGTAATTTTGTCCTCCTCCCCAACGTGGTCCCTTCCTAGATTCTGCATTTCTCCGCTACTCCAAACTTGCTGGGGTGGGGAGGCGAGGGTCGTTAGAGAGCTGCGGAGGGAGGTGGAGCAGAGGTTGGCGAGTGAACATCCGTGGTGGTGGTGGGGGGTTGACGCGGAGTCCGTCAGTGCCAAGAGGGTGAAAGCTTGGGAGCGCTGAGACTGGGGAGAGGGGAAGAAAGAGGGAAAGAAGCGAAATGAGAGAACGAGAGGAGGCGGAAAGGAAAGGGAAAGAAAGAGCGCTGAGAGAGCGCAGAGAGCGCCAGTGGAGGCGAGGCGAGCAGAGCACTGGCGGCAGCGGCCGCGGTGCGGCGCTCCGCTCCGGCCCTCATTCCGCGCCGGCTTTTGCGAGCGGCCGTCGGCGCGGGGCCCTTTGGAAATAGAATAGCCAATGTAATCTGACACTTCAACTTGCTCGGCTCCGGGCGAGTTGATTCACTTACTCACCCCCTAACGCCGAGTTCCTTTTCACTGTCTGTGGACATTAAAAAAGCGAGCGGCGGCGGCGGGCGCCCGGGAGAGCAAGCGGCCGGGCGGCGGGCTGGAGGTGATCAGCGATCGGGCGGCCGAGCGAGCGAGCAGTGCCGGCGCAGCGCGGTGACCCTAGCCCCGGCCGGCGCAGAGCAGGAGCCGGAGCCGGAGCCGAGCCGATCTCGGCGCCCTCGCCGCGCTCCTCCCGGCCCCTGCCGGCCCTACCCGGTGGTGGCGGCGGCGCGTCCTCCAGCGGCGGCAGCGGTGCTCGCAGAGCCCGGTAAGTTTGGGGACTGAGCCAGGCGCCTGTTAGCCCCCAGGCTTCCTCCCGCTCCCGGCGGCTACTCGGGGTGCGAGCTGAGTCCTGGGGCTTTTCCCTTAAAGGGTTCGCCGGGGCCAGGCAAGTGGAGTGAGCAGCCCGCTGCGCGGGCTCCGCTGCACTCCGCTCGCCGGCCGGGGGCGGAGGCCCAGGCGAGCTGCGAGCACCGGGCTGCTGCACGGATCCGGCTCTGGTTGAGCGCGGGGGCCGGGGTTTATCGGGTGTGCGGGGTTTGAGTTCGGTTGTGAGCGCGCGGACCGGGTGCCCGCCTCCTGCCGGCGCGCCTACAGCCCTCTCTCCGAACACTCGGGGGCCGGACCCGGGACCTGGATTCTGAGGAGGGAGGGAAGAACAGGGGCTACCGCCTCGGTCTYCCTAGTCTCCTTTGGGGAGACGCGAAGTTGTGCGCCTGTGTGCATACGAGAACCTCCAGGGAAGGCGCCGGATTTCAGGGTGACCAAGGGTGGTGGCGTTAAGTTGTGCATCTGAATTTACAGGGAAAACACACTTTTGTAAATGAAAGGTGGGGACGCGGTTAAGTTGTTTGTGTGGGAATTGCCCCGGGAACCGCCGCGCGCGGTATGAGCAGGGAATGCCGAGGGGTGTGAGTAGGGGCTTCTTGTGGGGCTTTGGAAACCGGAGGGGCTTTCAGGCCAACGCCTGGACGGGGCTGCCCCAGCCAGGAGGGGAGCCCAGAGGAAAGATGTGCGTTGTGTGCGCGCGCGCGTTGCAAATACGAAAGTAATTTCCCCGTGTTCTTTCTTCCTCTCCGTCTCCGGCAGCGGTGGCCCCGGGGGAGTGGGAGGCCGGCCGGGGCGGAGGTTGAAGGGGCCGGGCCGGGGCTGGAGCTGGGGTCGGGGGGCGGGCTCTGGAAGCTTGTTTCACATTCCTGGTGTCTGGGTTGGGGTGAAAACTGGAGAGCGCGGTCTCGATGTCTGGGGCGCAGGCAGCGGGCGCACGTCGCCCTCTCGCCGGGGACATCTGTCCAGGAAGCCGGCCGGACGGGGAGAGGGCGCGGTGCGGAGGGCAGGCTCTCGGCCCCGGAGCGGTGGGGGCGCAGGCAAGGGGCGGCCGCCTTCCCGGCCATTGTGCGCCAGCAGATTTTCACGGGAGACTGCCCCGGAGCCGCCGGAGAAGGCCGGGAGCCGGCCTCAGCCCTGGGTTTAAAAGACACTCCAGGAATGTAAACAACCCGGGCGGGAGGGCGGGCGGACGGGAGCGCGCCCGGGCAGCCGGCCCGGGCCCCCCACCCCTGCCCCGGGGACAGCCCAGCGGCAGGGCCGCCGAGTCCTACCCCTCTACCTGCCGCAAACTTTTCCCTCTGCCTCCCTGTTCCATCTGGCCCCTTCAGCTGGGTACAGAGCGAGAGCCTCTCCCAGGCTGGGACCGAGAGCGCCTGGCACCCTGCGCCGTACCCGGGAGGCCTGGCGGCAGCGTCTCTCCTTCGGTGCCCGGAACCCGGGCTGCGCCTGCCCGGGAGCCGCGGCTTCCTGGGCAGGCAGTGCCCGAGTAACTGGGGCTCTGAGCCTGCCCGCCTCCCTCCCGCCCTCCCTCCCGCGGCTCCTTCCCCCGCTCTCCCCCTTCCCCTCTCCCCTGACTGCTTTTCCAATGCCCTGACATGAGGGAGGAAGATTTAACTTGGCAGCCCAAACAAATGTTCTCTCTGAGGTCCTCCAAGAAGCTGGCGGCTGGGCTGGCGGGGTGAGGGCACCGCTCGGCCATGCTTGCCTTCCTCTCTGCTCTGCCACGGACATTTGGAGCTCCCTGGGTGGACAGCCCCGGGCATGGGAGAGTAGAGCCCATCCCCGGAGATTTAAAAGGGCAGTGGGCAGTGCCCTGGAAACCCCTGGTTTGGACGGTACAGAACTGTCCAGCTTTAACTGGCTCCTGGTGCCAAGGGTTTTTTGAAGGATTTTCTTGAGCAACAGTTTGCCTCCTGCTGCAACCTGGGAACCCGGCCTGGTGGACCAGAGGGTTAACTAGTGCAGTCTCCTCCTCCTCGTGGGTGTGAGGACAGGCTGGTTACACAGGGCAGGACAGGAGGCCAGAGGCTGTTCCCAGAGGTGCCTGGGTTTGCTTATTATTGTTTTTTTTTTTTTTTTTTTTGAAGGTACAGATAAAGGGACAGGCACTGTGGCTGGAGAACTGGGCAGCTTGTCTGTTGAAATCCAGCTTGGCTTGGCTGGCTTTTGTGGTCCCTGGAGCCTTAAAAGTTGCAAGCTATGTGGGAAGTTTAGATCAGACAGCAAACCTCTGGTTTTCTCTGTCTCCACCACTTTTTGAGGGTCTTCAAGGTAGGGACACTTCTGAGTCCCTCTCTTGCAGGCTTTTTGGCTCCTGTGCAGAGGTTACAGGGGTTTGTGGATACCCGGGAGCCTTGTGCTGACCTTTCCCTCTTCAAGTTGAGGATGTTGAAACACCAGCATCAAACAAAAGACACATTGAGAGCCCTATCTGCTGCGGAGCACGTGTGACTTTGGCGGAGGGAACGCACTTGGAGGAGTTGGTGTTTTCCTCTGAGTTTTATGATTTCAGTTGGGTTTTGTTTTTCCCAAAAGGACAGAAGCATCTCCTTGTCCCAAGTCACGAGGTTATGAAATGCTGTTTTTACRTGTAAATCTCAAAAGTTTAGACTTGGGAGAGTTGGTGGCCATGGTAGTAGGGAGGAGCTAGAGAGTTTTCAGGAGTTGGATGGGTTTTTGAGGCATTCAGAGTCCAGCTCACAGAGACTTGGGAATTAAAAATTGCTGGATGTATGAAGAATTTTGAATAAATACCTTTGTGCAAAAAAGGGTTACTGGCTTCTTTGTAGGGACAAAATGTTCTTTTTCCCTCCTAGAAAAGCAGGGAGGAGGATCCAGGAGCAAAGTAAAGAAAGGCCCAGAAACTGGGGTTTGGCCACAGAACCATAGTCCCCCCCTTTAACTAACACACACACACACACACACACACACACACACACACACACACACACCCTTAGCTACCCTAGCAAAGCACTATCTCCATCCCTGGTCCCCATAAGCATGACCCAACATAGGACAGGTGACCACAGTTGACTCAATCCAGAAAATTGCAGGGGGAAGGACCCAGCAGAGAAGTGTTGCAAACTTCACTTTTTTCCCTGATTGACAGGGGAGGAGTGGATAAGGAAGGAAGATGCTTGGAGGTCTGCATGTCCTGAGAACCTGGTCACAAGAGAACCTGCATATGAAACCATGGATACAGAGTTCTCTGGTCCTGMCCAAGGTCCAATGAATGTCTGTGCTGTGGGTCTCAGAGCAAGATGTTGCTGTAAGAAATTTCTGTACCAACAAGTTTATTTCATGGAGGTTCGGTGCRCTCTTATGGATAGAACCAGGAAGCAGGGCCCGCCAGGTTGTGACTGGGTCCCACACAATTTCATTTATAACTCTGCTCCCGTGGGCCCTGGCCTGGCTCCTATCACGGCCACATCTTTATGAGGTCCCTTAGGTTTTGTGTGGACAACAAAAGCTGGGCTGCCATAATTACCCTGGACGCCAGCAGCCTTGCCTGGTGACTGCCCTGACCTCACAGCAGGACACGGTGCCCTTTGGCCAGGCCCTCTGAGTGGGGACTCTTTGTCCTTAAGAGTCCCTGAGGCTGGGGGAGGGCAGGGGCCTGCCTGGGCTATAAGCTCCAAGAATGAATCTGAGGCTGGGCCTTACCCTCAGGGATGAAGGGAGGCGTAGAACAAATCTCAGGCACTGTTCTGGAGTTCTGGAGTCCACAAGCCCATCATGATTCTGTGGGTCTTGCCATTTCCTGGGGAGATGCAGGAGAAGAAAAGATGTAGGGGGCCTCCACTTTCTGGCTACTTGGGCCAGTTAGTTTATTCTGCTGATCTGTAATATGGGCTCAAGGGCAAACTTCTACTATCTCACTTGGTAGCCGGGAGAATGAGGTAGATACTGGCACAAGAGTCCCCAGCACGTGTCCACTAAAGGCCCCAGCAGACTGTGGAGCAGAATGGGTAGAACACAGAGGAGCTGGACCTGGGGTGCAGAAGCATTTTCCAGAGCCTCTCATTCATTCGTGCTTAGCCCCCTGGCAACTGACTGTCCAGCTTCAGCTTACATGGCCCCTGTGACCAGGAGCTCACCACTTCTGGGAAGTCTGCTTCCCATGCAAGGCTGTGCATGTCGGGATGCTCTGCTACGTGCCCTCTGGAATCCACAACTCTGGACCTTCACTCTGGGCTTGGGGTGCTGGGGGTCCCCCAGACCACARACTCATCTTTGAATGATTATGGGTTCAAGGCCAGTGACCAGGCAAGCCATACTGACATAGGGTCAGGGGATATCCTTGAAATGGCTGCTGTCATCCCCTATTGGGAGTAGCCTATGGGGAGGGGGGAAGCATCTGCCTGAGGGGCTCACTGTCATCTGCCTTTGGGTACCAGGTTTGCTTGTTGATACTTTCTGTCCTTTGAGCTGATATGGCAGAGAATGGTCATAACGAGGGTGGAATCGGGTCAGGGACCGTCTCTCATGCCACTGAGAGTCTATAGTGTGAAAACTGAAGCCCGTGGAGACACCCAACTATATAAGACGGTTCTTGCTCCTTAGGAGCTTACTTCCAGCACAGGGAGGAAGATCGGTCTCAGTAAATAATTAGCCACTGTCAGCTGGCCACCTGCCATGGGGCACACGATGACATTAATAATCATAGCCCCTTTTCTTTGTATGGCACTTGGTAGATCTAGAAGTGGTCTCTAAATCTGTGAAACCCCAATAACAACAGGGTAAGCTAACTGCTGTTTGGAATTACCCCCATTTAACAGAGAAGGAAACTGAGGTTGAAAGAGGTGAAAAGTCAGGGCTCAGCTCTAGACCTTACAGATACCATTGAGCAGTGGTAGGGCTTATGGTCCACTGAGCCAGAGCCCCAGATACACTGGCTCATGGGTACAGAAGCTGGTATGGACCCCAAGAATAGGGAAA